AAGTTTTATGAATAACCCAAAAGGTGAGATTAAAAAAAGAAGAAGTATTTGCAAACCACGTCAAGGTTGAAGAGGAAATGGTTTGTGGAAGATAGCTTAGCAAGCTCCAATTGAAGGGAATCAAGTTGAGTTTGATTGCGTGAGCAGCCAATAATGGTATGCCCACGGTTGGCTAGCTCCAACGCCAAAGCTCTTCCTAATTGTTAAGGATATTTAGTAATAAATTATAGTTTACCATATATATTATATTTGATATTTTATTATAAGACAAATATTAGATATTTGTCTTATTACCATAGGTATGTTTCCATTTATTGTTATTTCCATTTATTAGTATTTCCAATCCTTGTAATTTATTTGATTATAAATAAGATAACTTTCACACCATTTAGGTGTGGTGGATTAATCAAACATTCACATGGTATCAGAGCCCTCTCGGTTTAACCCCGATCCTTTTCTTTCAATGGCTTTTGAATTCTCTAATCTTCTTCTCCACCACCCCTGCTGGTTTTGACGCCGCAGGGGCAGTCTTCATGGCTGCCGTAGTCGGAGCCGATTGATTACTCTTCGGCTCCACCTTATTGACCTCCAAATCACCTTTCGTCATACTCTGTACATACAACCTCACCTTTTCCAACCCAATCGGTTTTCCCCTTGGCCAATATAGTCTCTCTCATTTTCTTCCCAATCAACCTTCATCCTTCACATAAACCCTAACCTAAACCTATCAACCTTTTGCAAAGATTTACCTTAGAAATCTGGGTGCCGCACTGGCCTATTCGCCAACCAAGTTGTCGCCGCCTTTCCTGCCAAAATTGGCTTCTTCGCCCGATGAGGCGACTCTTCCGACTGCCCTTCTCGCCAAAATTGGCTCCTTCGCCCAATGTGGCGACTCTTCCGGCTTCAACATTGCCTTTGTCCCTTGCTCTAGGTTTCCCCTTCTACTTCTTGGGGTTAGAAATATTCTCACTAAAGCCAAAGCAGCATCGTCGCTAAGCGACAATCCCTCTTCATGGGTTAGACATATTCTCGCCGAAGCCAAGGCAGCATCGCTGCTAAGCGGCGATCCCTCTGCAATTTTTGATGGCCAAGAACCGGGTTGTTAGCATCTTCATGAAAAGTGTTTCTCAACCTCTTTGAATTTTTCATATTCAAGCTTCACGTTCGTTTAAATCCGACGCTTAGCTTGCGGTGGGGTGTTAAGGATATTTAGTAATAAATTATAGTTTACCATATATATTATATTTGATATTTTATTATAAGACAAATATTAGATATTTGTCTTATTACCATAGGTATGTTTCCATTTATTGTTATTTCCATTTATTAGTATTTCCAATCCTTGTAATTTATTTGATTATAAATAAGATAACTTTCACACCATTTAGGTGTGGTGGATTAATCAAACATTAACACTAATCCTTTGCTAACGCCAGTTATCAACACCTTCCTAGGAGTGGTGGCCATTTTAGTGTTGGGTTTTGGGTTTTGGGTTTCTTAGAGACACTTGTATAGAATGATGAGAGTTTGAATGTTTAGGAGATAAGGTTCGGTTGGTGGTTAAAGATGTCTAGGAGATAAGGTTTTAAGTTTCCAAGAAAGAGATAGGAGGGAAAAAAGGCCATTTGGGCCCACATACTGATCGAATAAGAGAGCGGTGGAGAGAGACATCAGGCAATGGTCTCTCTGTTTTGGCAGAGAGCATCAAAATTTGATTTTTGATTATGGCGCTTACCAATAATACAGATAGAACCGACAATTTACCTAAGAGCTTCCTCTTCCTCTTTGAAAGAGAAGTGGTCATGTTTATGACTTGCTTTTTGAGATGACTAAAGGACAAGATAAAAGAAAATAAAATAAAGTAGAATAAAACATAATATAAAATACAATCGACCCCCTTTAGTTTTTCATCCAATTAAACCCCTTTCTAGACGATTCTCACCAAATTCTCAATGGTTCCAGAATAATACTATAGAAAATTCGGAGGAAATTAAGTACCGAAAGTTCAAGAAATATGATCCCGAACACCTGACAAGAGGTAAGTAGCTACCTTGGACTTTTCTCTAAAATTAATGGTAGGAATCGCTTGGATTTCTATATGAACCCTAAATCAAGAATGAATTAAGGTTATATAAAAAAAAAAATAAAAAAGTTAAAAAAAAATCCAAAGAACCGTGAGTTACGACCCTGAACTAGTCAAAGTGCTCGGGATTTAGGTAGCGTTAAAATAACCCGGTAAATGAACTTTGCTGCTTATGAAATTTTAATGTTGTGCATATTATGGCATGTTGAAATTACATAGGAAATTTGGTGTTCGGAAGATACGGTGAAAAATGACCCTAATGAGCTTGGATATCATGATAAGCTTAAATAGAGAAAAGAAAAAGATTAGTCAAAATTCCCTAAACCTTGCATCACCACCTAAAGAAACCCAACGATTCTTTAAGAACGGGAAAAGTACACCCTATGGAAGGACACCTTTCACTTGTAGTAGTTCGAAAGGCGATACTAGCAGAGATGATTTGAGCTTCTGAAATAAATGGATGGTTGGACGGAGAACTCAATCTACACCATTTAATTAGATAATTTAAAACATTGAAAAAAATAATTAATGGAATTCTTAATTTAAAGTTAACTGCTTGCAAAGTAAATGATATACTCATACAAATTATTTTAACATTTCTTTTTAGATAGACATGTTGCAAAACGGAGATGATGGCGTGGACGAGCTAGTAATTTTAGACATCTTGTTTACACTCGAGTATTTTATGGGTTAAAACTTTATGTTCCTTATTTTGAACTTTTTCATGGTTAAGTATACTTTCGTTCGGTTATATTACATTATTGTAAATTATGTGAATTTTGGATTGTCACGGCCAAATTTTTTAGTTTTTCGAACCTCGGATTTTGATTTAAAATTCAAAAATCAAAAGAAAATAAAGAAAGAGTAAAATAAAATAAAAGATGAAAATAGGATAAAATTTAAATCGAAACACGTGTCAAGACGTAAAAGCTAGGAGTAGTTTTGGACCGTGGTCAGTAAGTGAGGTCTATTTTTCAATCCATTCAACAATAGTTGACTTTATTACCCTTAATTTTACTTGAAATAAGACCTACCAGAGAAATTTTAGAAATTTTATATCTCCTACCACTCCATAAACTTTAGGCTTCATCAATGTAACCACATGAACTTTAGGCATCATCTATGTAACTACTTCAACTCTAAACAAGTAATACTTGTAAGGAGCATTGGGACATGCTTGTTGTCATTTATGCCCTAAACCCTCATAATTAATTATTTAGTTTTTAACAATAATTTTGTTATTTTATTTGTAACTTAATTGTTATCAATGGTATGAAAATTCAAAGTTATTAATGTAATCTTGAATAGTATGTGGTTGACATACAAGATAATCGTGTTCAAGTAATGACCTAGAGAGTCTATAGTATATGGATAAGATTGGGTGCCTTATCATGGTAACACTATTGATATGATTCACTTCTTAATCGTTACAAATGATTTGATCTAAATCATTCATGTGGAGACATGGAAGTGGGAGTATCATACACAATGAGTTTGTCTAAGACTGAACCAAGAAAAATTTAATCTCTCTTTATAAATCCATTAATTGAGAAGATTAATATTTCACATGTTGATCATAGGCGACTCGATCTTAATGTTGAGTGGGTTATGAACTCCTGCATGTGAAGGCTTGTCCTTTAATTTACATGGGTGATAATGGCTCTTTTAGCCGATTCAATATGCCTACCATTTGGGGACTTGACCTAATAGGGAGTTGGGAACATAATATCATAAGATAGAATTCCCTCCTTTCCAGGAAAGTAGATGAGTTGTTCTCTTAAGTACTGATTCCGGGACTTGAACAATGGAGCCCCATCCTCTCATTATCCCAAGAGGGACTTGGTTTATGATTGGATCATAAACAACTATTCATTAGAGAATCAGTGGTACTTAAGGTGAAAGATGTAATTGCAAGGGTAAAACGGACTTTTAACCCAGCTGTAATTATGAACAACTCGTGAAAGATCGACTTGCTTGTAATGGTTATATAAATAGACATAACTTGTCCTGCAGTGCATAAGAGTGAACTCTAGGTCTATAGTGGAGTGACCTATAGTTACTTAAATGGAAATTGATTAATTAAAGAGTTTAATTAATTAATTTTATATCATTGGAGCTTATAATGTGTAGGTCCATAATTTTCTTACTAGCTCATAATAACATTAAAAGGTTCAATTTATTTGAAAGAAAATTTGAAGAGTTCAAATTGATAAAATAAATTTAATTTCAAATGTCAAATTAATATTTAATATATTAAATATATTAAATAAATAGAAAAATATATTTACTTTCAAGTGTTCAAATTAATATTTAATATATTAGATAGGTTAAATATAAATGAAAAAAAAAATATTAATTTGAAGGGTTCAAACTAATATTTAATATATTAGATATATTAAAAAGAAAAAAATTATTTATTGTATTTGATACCATTAAATTTTAAAACAATTTATGTATTTTGATACATTAAATAAAAATATATTTGAAATTTGAATGAGATTCAAATTAGTTAAATATATGTTATGATAGCTTATATATCTAAATATGAATTTTACAAGGTATTATATCTAATATATTAAATATGCAAATATATTATTTGGCAAAAATTCTCTAAGAATCCCTATAAATAGGATATTCGGGTGGAGCCAAAGACGTACTAACCTCTTCCACTTTCTCTTGAGAATGAAATTACGTCTACAGAGAATTCTCGAAACTATTCTTCTCCCAATCCCTTTGCGATTTTCTTTCAAGAGACTCCCACAAGTTTTGCCTTGTGTTCGAATCATAACAAGGAATAACTTGTGGAATATGAAGAATGTTTGCATGGTTGGAATACTTCAAGAAGTCTTGCAAGCTACGGTTTCTACAAAGGTAGAGTTCTTGCTCTCGTATTTATTGTCTTTCTTTTAATTTTTAATAAAATCAAAACGGACTTGTGGAATATGAAGAACGTTTGCATGGTTGGAATACTTCAAGAAATCTTGTAAGCAACAGTTTCTACAAAGGTAGAGTTCTTGCTCTCAAATTTATTGTCTTTCTTTTATTTTTTAATAAAATCAAAATGGTTTCCAATGCTTCCGTTACGTGGATGAAGAGTTCATTCCTTCAATTGTATTAAAGCTTATTGATTTTTATTTTGAACTAAAAGTTGTATGGTGGGTAATTTATTTAAAATCATATATGTGATATATGCAATTTTGATTTTTCAAAATTGCTTGTTTTGGCATATTGGTGTGGTATTAGATTTATAGACAAATGTATACCCTTATGAGTTATGTTTTAGCATATTGTATTGATTGTTTGGCATATTGGTGTGGAATTAGATCTCAAACACTAATTTTATGAGATTTTGAATGGTTCCAAAGGGAAAGATCTCGAACCCTATGGTGGGTAATTTATTTAAAATCATATACGTGATATATGCAATTTTGAGTTTTCAAAATTGATTGTTTTGGCATATTGGTGTGGTATTAGATTGACTTTGTTAGACAATTGTATACCCTTATGAGTTATGTTTTGGCATATTGTGATAGTTTTGGCACATTGGTGTGGTATTTAGATTTACTGTTTTGTTAGACAAATGTTTACCCTTATGAGTTATGTTTGGCATATTGTATTGATTGTTTTGGCATATTGGTTTGGTATTAGATCTCAAACACTTGAGATTTGAAATGGTTCCAAAGGGAAAGGTCTCGAACCCTATGGTTCCAAAGGGAAAGATCCCGAACCCTATGGTTCCAAAAGGGAAAGATCTCGTTCCAACAGGGAGAGATCTCAAACCCTAACTTTATGGTTCCAACAGGCAAAGATCTCAAACCCTAAGAACATAGAAAGATCTCAAACCCTAACTTTATGGTTCCAACCGGCAAAGATCTCAAACCGTAAGAAAATGGAAAGATCTCAAACTCTAACTTTATGGTTCCAAGAGGCAAAGATCTCAAACCTTAAGAAAATGGAAAGATCTCAAACCCTAACTTTATGGTTCCAAGAGGCAAAGATCTCAAACCCTAACTTTACGATACCAACCGGCAAAGATCTTAAACCTTAATTTTATGGTTCCAACCGGGAAACATCTCAAACCTTAATTTTATGGTTCAGAAACATCTCAAACCCTAATTTTATGGTTCAGAAACATCTCAAACCCTAATTTTTTTGGATTTTATCTTTCGGGAAAGATCTCAAATCCTAATTGGATTAGATTTTATCTTTCCAAAGGGAAAGATCTTCTACCTTCTCTTTGGCTCGACAATCGCTCGCATAATGACCCATTCTGCCACAATTGTAACAACTGTCGGAGTTACAATCATTCGCGTAATGACCATATTTTTTACATTTAAAGCACTGAATGTTGCAATTGTATCCTTGACCGCACTCTCTTTCCCACCATTGAAGCTCTCTCCCTTTGAGCTCAGGCTCTTTGTTATTCTATTGTTCATCCTTCTTCAATTTTATCATCTCCAATACCACGATTTGGCCAAATTTGTTGCGTATCACTTCATTTCTAACAACTTCCACTACCTCACGACTTTCTCTTTCGCACCGCCATATTTTTTACATTTAAAGCACTGGATGTTGCAATTGTATCCTTGACCGCACTCTCTTTCCCACCATTGAAGCTCTCTCCCTTTGAGCTCAGGCTCTTTGTTATTCGGTTGTTCATCCTTCTTCGATTTTATCATCTCCGATACCACGATTTGGCCAAATTCGCTACGTATCACTTCATTTCTAACAACTTCCACTACCTCACGACTTTCGCCAATGTCTTTCGCACCGCCTCTCCTTTTCTGCTCGGCTCTTCGTTTTGAGCCATCAAGAAGATGCCTCCATTTGTTGTGTCATCCAAGGCTAGGTTGATGGTTTCTTCCACCTTCTCTTTGGCTCGACAATCTGTCGCATAGTGACCCATTCTGCCACAATTGTAACATCTGTCGGAGTTACAATCATTCACGTAATGACCATATTTTTTACATTTAAAACACTAGATGTTGGAATTGTATCCTTGACCGCGCCCATGAATACGTCCTCTTCCATGCCAATTTGCTTGGCTCGATAGTCTCTTCTCCTGGTAGTTTTCTTCGTGACTGTTACCTTGACCACCTTGACCATTTTCACGGCTTACATGACCTCTACTTCGAAAATTTTGTTAGTAGAGTACTTTTTCATCCTTTATTGAGGCCTTTGTCTGAAGCGCATGATCGACTGGTTCCTCCTTTTTCTTACGTTGCTTGTGTGCCTCGAGAGAATCGACAAGCTCATCGACTGTGAACTTCGCTAGGTTCTTCTACTCTTCTATTGCACATACGACATTCTCGAAGTTGCCTGTTAACGATTTCAAGATTTTCTCCACAACCCGCGTCTCGGGTAACATTTCTCCGTTTTGATTTAGCTGATTCGCCATGGTCTGTAAACGTGTAATGTACTCAGATACATTTTCTGACTCCATCTTCATGCTCGCCAACTCGTCATGCAGAGTCTGGAGACGCACTAGCTTGACTCGGTCGGTTCCTTTAAACACATTTTCTAGAGTGCCCCACGCTTCTTTTGAAGTAGTTGCCCTTGCAATCTTCTCAAAGCCCAACTCGTCAATAGCCCGAAACAGCATGTATAATGCTGCTTTATTCTTTGACCGTAATTCCTTTAGCGCCTTGTTTTGCGCCACCGTATAACCCGTGGTATCAATCTTCTTTGAAACCGTCTTCGACCACCTCCCATGCGTCTTGCGAACTGAAAAAGAGCTTTCATTTGGATGCTCCAATTCTCGTAGTTTGTCTTCGTCAATCGTGGTAGCGGCATTTGTCTCATCATGTTCGCCATCGACTCTGATGCCAATTTGTAGAAAATAATTTGCTATAATACCAATTTGTAGAAAAATAAAGCCGCTCCGATACCAACTTGAGAGAAAAAATGCTCGCTCTGAATCTAACTTGTTTAGATAACTCTCACGAAACTTTAAAGTGGGGTGTCGAAAAGGGAGAGACAAGGAGACAAAGAAGTTCTCAAGGTTTTTTTGTATTACACATTAACTTAGACAAGTTTGATGTGTTGCTCTCCTTGCTCACTGTTGTTCTTTGTTGTTCTCACTTGTTCTTTTCTCTTGCTTTTACAACCACAGGTAAAGCCCTTTTATAGATTTTCATAAGGCTAAGTTTAGCTCATTACTTTTCTCTCCCATAAACCATAATTGTCCTCACTTTTCTCTCTCATAAGCCATTTGTATCTTAAATTCAATAATGGCAAAAAAAAAAAAAAAAAAGAAAGGTTCTCTCCTAATCTCAAACCCTCATTTTATGGTTACAACGGTAAAGATTTCAAACCTAATTTTATGATTACAAAGTAAAAGATCTCTAATTCTAATTTTATGGTTATCTCAAACCCTAATTTTATGGGAAGATCTCCAATACTAATTTTATGGTTATCTGAACCCTAATTTTCCATTCCAAAATGGAAGGATCTCAAACCTAATTTTATTGTACCTTTTTTATTTCTATTTCAATTTCTCCCCTTTTTTTTATTCCTTTCTTTACAAATAGCAACCGCCCCCACTCACAAGCTAACGCCCATAACGTTTCTTCTCCCCGACGTGTCCACGTGGGCCCTGCCGACCGTTTCGAACACGTGTGTGCACCCACCGACGCCTCGATCATGTCGTCCCTGCTCGCAAGCTAACGCCCATAACGTTTCTTCTCCCCGACGTGTCCACGTGGGCCCCGCTGACCGTTTCGAACACGTGCGTGCACCCACCGTCGCCTCGATCATGTCGCCCCGCATGCGTTAAGTGCAATTTGTGCGCATTGCATGTCGGGTGCGATCATACCAGCACTAATGCACTGGATCCCATCAGAACTCTGCAGACAAGCATGCTTAGGCGAGAGTAGTACTAAGTTGGGGAACCACTTGGGAAGTCCTCGTGTTGCACCCTTTTTTTATTTCTTCAATTTCTCCCCGTTCTTTTCTTCCTTTCTTTAAAAATGGCAACTGTCCCCGCTCGCACGCTCACGCCCATCGCGTTTCTTCTCCTCCGACGTGTCTGTGCGGGTCCCGCCGGTCGTTCCGAGCACGTGCGTGCACCCACCGTCACCTCGATCATGCCGCCCCGCATGCGTTAAATGCAATTTGTGCGCATTCCATATCGGGTGCGATCATACTATCACTAATGCATTGGATCCCATCAGAACTCAGCAGTCAAGTGTGCTTGGGCGAGAGTAGTATTAAGTTGGGTGAGCACTTGGGACGTCCTCGTGTTGCACCCCTTCTTTAGCCCCCGCTCACGCCCATCACATTTCTTCTACTGGCCGTTCCGAGTACGTGCGTGCACCCACCGTTGCCTTGATCAAAGCATGCTTGGGCGTGAGTAGTCCCTCCAAACCTCTTTTCTGATTATTTATGTAAATGGTGATTGCTCGTGGATTAAATGGACAGTTATACTTGCATGGGCATTGAGCTCAAAAAGTGCTTGGTTGAGATCTCAAAGAGGTGAAATGTGGAAGAAAAATTTTGTGTAAGCAAAATTTAAGGTCAAAACGGCCATATTTTTGGATGAAAGGTTGGGCAAGCCCCTTCAGCGTGTAGATCTCAAAAAGTTACATAAAATAAAAAAAAAAAAATCATCTAATTTGATTAATTGAGGTCAAAGTTATGATGTTTTAAAGTTTCAACTTAACTCTAAGATAATATTGAGAGCATTAAAGGTCTCGATGCACTAAAATTTTTGTTTGCTCGTAACCACGATGTTATAGGTTGTGGAAAAATGTATGAAAATGAGTACTCATACAGCAAAAACAAGGTTGTATCGAAGAATATATGTTGTCCGAAATGTTTACTCTCTGCTGTACAGGTTTGATTTCTTGGCTTAAAAATTCGCAATTCGCAATCAAGTACCCTCTTAGAGCAAAGTAAGATGCAAAACGGAGCCGCGATATAGACGGTAGTTTTGAAGTTATAGTGTACCTAACGAATAATATATACTATGTAGGATTTTTTTTGCATACACTTACTACTAATGTACTTATATATCATCAGAAGCATAACATCAAATTCCCTTTTTACTCTTTTTTATTTAAATTTTTTAAGATTCAGAAAAATATTTATCGACTAGCCACTCAATCTAAATGAGAACCTACAAAATGGTGCAAAGTATTAGATTTTCTCTATATACCCAAACATAAAATATGGCTTAACCTGGAGTAATATGAAACTCTATCTTATACTATGTTATACAGCTCAATTTCTTAGTCATGTTTTATTTTATTAGATTACTTTTCTCAGTAGAACTTACAATTTGATGGGATCTACTTTTCCTAAACACATGAGAGCATATCATGTTTTAAGAACTTAGAATCCATAATTTAGAACTTTAGGGAGAATGTCTTCCGAATAAACTCATGCTTATGACTTATGGTTCGGTTGAGAGTATGATATCCTGACATTAGCCATGGACAATATTAAGACCCTAAAATTAGGCTACTTGATTGAGTTTTATATACATTCTAATATTTACCTGTTTTTCAAGTAATGACTACACACTAGTCAAGGAGAGAGTAGATATGAAGCTGATGCCATAGAGAGACAACCTAATGTCGATATTCTCCAATGGTTTTGTATCTTTTTGTATGTGTGTATTTGTGTTTATTTATATGTTTTAAATTTGTTGAGTCTTTGTTTTAAAAAGATAAAAAATTAAAAAAAAAATTACTATATTTTGACTTACTCGAGTCAACCTACGTCATCATTCGTGCGGTAAACAACTCAAAACATGGATCGTGATAGATTGGTATCAGACATGCCCTACCACGACTAAGTAAATATGCCAATAAGTACTTTAGTAGGTTAATATAAGTTTAAGTATTCTCTTAAATTTTAAGGACTTTGGTTTAACTATTTTTGGGCTACTTGTTCAAGTTAGACCTATGATGACATTTGAGGTACCTAAAAACAATCATAAATTTTCTTATCCCTTTCATTTTGCATTTTGACTTGTTGATAACCTTTGCTGCTTCCGAAAGCCGTCTTGGAGTGGATAAAAAGAAAAAAGATAAGCCTGCCTTACGCCCCGTTCCTCCCAAAAGGTCAGTTCAAGCACACAGCCTGAACTACGACTTTAAGCTATCTTTCATGATAGATCATGGTGTCAAGAAGAAGGGCACCAACTACTAGGATCATCGGAGGAAGAGGAAGAGGTAGAAAGTAAGCCTTTGAAAATTTCATTGAACGGTCACTCGAGGTAGAGATTCCCTAGAACTAAGTACAAAACACAAAGATACAAACCCAATAAGAGCCTATTCCCAATCAGGTTGCACCTCCCGTCTAGCCAACTATCACATTCACTTTGGAGGCCTTGTAGTCCTTCACGAGGATGATGATGGAAACTCAACAAGCATGGTAGTGCATGCTATCTAAGCTAGCCAAGTATCACACTCTCCTAGTGAGTTTCAAGGGACCACGAAAGAGTCATAATTCTTAAGAGATTTTAAGAAGTTCGATTCACCAACGTTTGATAGAGACAAGGTAGATCTCGTGGTAGTGAGGTATAGCTAGAAGCAATAGAAACAACCTTTAAATACATTTATTGCATAAAAATCTACCAGGTTCACTATGTCACTTATAAGTTAAAGGGCAGATGCACGATTTTTGTGCCATGCACCAAAACTAGGAGGAGTTCCTAAGCCTCAAACACGAAAGTAAAACATTGGAAGAGTATGCCTGAAGTTCACTAGGTTATACCAGTTCACGTCAGAACTAATTAATACAAAAAAGAAGAATATCTTTCATTTCATTACGGGTTTAAGGGAGGACATCCAAGGACCGATGGCGGTCCGTACATCCGGTGACTATGCCACCATGCACCATTAGAAAATTAAAAAAACAAAAAGTGTAGTAGGTCCTCTCCAGGCAAAAGATGAAGCTAAATAGAAACTCCTCCTAGTCTAACAAGCAGCCATAGAAGAAATTAGACAACAGAAAGACGCCACAAAAGGAGAAACTCCTATTCCTTAGGAGTAAGAAGAAGCACGAAGGGTACTTCTTAGTCAGAATGAACACATACTTAGTGTGGCATGGAGGGCCACATGATCACAAATTGCACATACAAGAGAGATTAGGGTAATAGACTTGCGTGTCAAAACTAGAATTAGCAGCAATAAAAGAACCAGAGCCAATGACGTAGAGGAACACCACAACAAGGACAAGCTATTGCACACATGCTACTACGACCATGAGGGCAAACGACCCCAACACGATAGTCATAGGGACCTTACCTATCCTCGGCTACTTCACATAGGTACTTTTTGATTCAAGCTATACGCACTCATTTATATCAAAGGCCTTTGTTAAGTAAGCCATATTAGAAATAGAGCATTTATATATCCCAATCATGGTATCCACACCTACGGTGACAAATTTATTAGCCATGCAAAAAGTTCATTTCGACAAGATAGTGATTACAAGAAGGATCATAGACGTGACGTTGATTGTCCTAGATATGAGTGACTTTGACGTCATCGTAAGAATGTAATGGCTTGTTCATAACTATGCCTATATTGGTGTCGAGCAAGAGAAACGAATATCAAATCTGCATTACGAGAAGGCTTTAAGTACAAAGGGGAGTATGCTAGAAGTACCTCGTAGGCCATTGATCGCTTATGAAGGTATATAATAAAATGGTGTAAAATTCACAAGAAGAAGTGCAAATATCCACTATCACAAGTAGCAAGTAATAAGTAAATTATCGATGGCATAGAGAACCTATTTTGTTTAGTTACTTTTGTTGCTGACAATTAAGTGATTTTTTAGTATCATTCAAATGTTGTTGATGAGCTTAAACTATTTGAACAAAATTTATGCAGAGTGTGAATTACGGTAGAAAAATAGAGAGCTATGAGAAAATCAATGACAATGAGGAAGGTTCCGTCTCGAGAGTTTAAATAGATAAGTTGTTGAAATTTGTGGTGGATTTTATCTCCTTTTGATAAATTCTCAAGTGCTCTTTTGAGGGTCATGCATGATGATTACTTTCATAATTGTTTTGTAATTTCTATTAACAAGAATTATTCCAAACACTTCAATTACCTTCCAGTATCCATGCAATGAAACTAGAGTATTAAAGAGAATTTTTTGCTCTCTTCTTTCGAATAAGAGAAGAACCATGTATCTAAAGTAGCCAACTAAACAAATTTGAAAATCACTAATAGCAACTTTTTATTTAACAAACTAAAAATTACACCGTTAACATACTTAAACTACATAAACTCTCCCGCTTCCCTTATAAGGTTTAGCTCTCCATATACACTTATTTAAAGAGATAGATCATCATTTTAATCATGTAAAATTCATAGAATAAGAAAAGAGAGTAAATGATTAGAGAGTTATCAAACTTTGTTGTTGTTCTTCACTTGAATTCCCCTTCGTTGAGCTCTCTCATCCACCTCTTCGTCTTAATCTATCCTTCTTGATATTCTTTTCCTTCGGCTATCAACAACGGCTGAATTATGATTCTTCTTCCTCATTTTCTCTTATTTTTATAGTAGCATAACGGTGTCTTTTCTGTTTTTCTCCTTTAGTGGCTCTCATCTTTAAGTAAATTCTCTTTTATATTATTTCTTTCTTCCTATGTAGGGCTAAAAAATGATAAGTAAATAACTCTCCAAAAATAGAGTTCTTTTTTTTTTTTAGGTAATTATGTACTCATACAAAACATTTTCTTATTATTTGCTCCGTTGGTTCCAATTAAAAAGCATGAAATAGTCAATTGTGGTTCAACATGAAAAGAATATCAATTTGCATAAATCAAGCCTAATTGTATACTTAATTGAGTTATTTGGTAAAATTCTAGAACATTTATACTGAACCATGATGTTGTAGCAAATCTGGAAACAACCCCTACAGACAAATCTAGAAACAAATTGTTGACTGATGCTGAAGTAATTCAGAAATCAAACTTTTTGAGCATGACATGAAAATTTTAATCCACCCTCGTGGGACATTGACTACCCAATTAAGAGCATTCTAAGTGGACAACTTATCCTTTCTCTAACTCTAAATGGGAAGAAACAAGGAGAAGGTGACTTGAAAAAGGAGGAGAGCCACTAAATAGAAAACATGGAATAGACAACAGTTGGTTCTACTGCGGTGAAACCAAAGAGAAAGAAGAAGAACCCTAATACAACAATGGTTGAAAACGGAAGGAAAAGAAAACCAAGAAGGATAGATTAGGATAAAGAGGTAGACGTGAGAACAAAGAAAAGGAACTTCCATTGGAGGACAACAACAAATTCAGCTTGTATGGAGAGCTAAACCTTATAGGGGAATCGAGAGAGTTTTAGATAGTTTAAATATGACGGTGTGATTTTAGTTTGTTAAAGAGTTGTTAATGATTTACCTATTTGTTTAGTTAGCCACTTTAAATACATAGTTGTTCTGTTATTAGTAAGAAAGAGGGAACAATAAAATTCTCCTTAATACTCTAGTTCTATTGCAAAGATACTGAGAGGTAATTGAAGGGTTATAAATACTTTTCTCCTAGAGATTTGTTAATAGAAATTACAAAACTATTATGAAAATAATCATGCATGACCCTCGAAAATGGGCTAGAGAATCTATTACAAGAAACTAAAATCCACAACAAAACTCAACAACTTATCTATTTAATTTTTCTGAGTCGAACCTTCCTCATTATTGTTGATTTTCTCATTGTTTTTTGTTTTTCAACAATAGTGACACTATACATAATTTTGTTTAATTAGTTTAAAATCACCGACACCCATTGGAAAAAGCTGACTTAGGTTCTAGCAACAAAAGTAACCAAAAAGATAGATTCTCGGTAGAATCGATAATTTACTTATTACTTGCTACTTGTAATAATGTATATTTTCACTTATTCTTGTGAATTTTACATCATTTTATTATATACATCCATAAGCGATCAATTATCTACCTAGTAAGTTCCAAATTGGGGGGTCAATGTCCCATGTGGTTTGCTGATTTGGATTATAATTTTCATGTCATCCTCGAAAAATTTACTTTCCAAATTGTTTTAGCATCAAGGTCAACAATTTATATAAACATGTCATCGTCACAAAGTTGTTTCCAAATTTGCTACAACATCATGATTCAACATAAATGTTCTGAAAATTTACTTAATAACTTAACTCAATGTCCAATTAGGCTCTACTCATGCAAATTACACTTTTTCAGGCTTACTAATGAGAAATAATGGAGCAATTATAAAAAAAAATTGTGAGCTGCAATGGACTATTTCAAGATTCCTCTAACCATCTTTTGCTTAGATGAGCTAGATGTTACATTTGCTAGCATTTCCATCTCTTCCCATTGGCGTTCCTTCTTCAAACTCTTCTTGCACTGCTTGCTTACCTCTTGTCCTTGGTGCCATTATACTGTAGTTTGCTAGCTGATTTTTTTCTTGAGTTTGAAGGATATTTGGATGAGCTATGTGGTGTTGTGGTTGCAGGCAGCTACTATATAGCTGACTTCATACCCTTCTTGTGAAATTCTCAGCTTAGTATCTCTAGGAGATACTTCAAATTTGTGTATGCAGACTAATTTTGTTGTTGTCTGTTTGATGATGAAAGTCCCACCTCGGCTAATTTAGGGAATGATCATGGGTTTATAAGTGAGGAATACTAACTCCATTGGTATAAGGCCTTTTGGGGAAGCCCAAAGCAAAGTCATGAGAGCTTATGCTCAAAGTGGACAACATCATACCATTGTGGAGAGTTCTGTTCGTCTAACCATTGTCATGTCTGTCTTCTATCCAACTTCTGTGGCTGTCAGGTCTGCCCTCTTTCCTTTACCTACGCTGACAACTATTACCTACTGTTGTGCTCAAAGTTAGCTGTTGTATGCGATTTCTGATGTGTAGCAGATTTTTCTTACCATTATGATTTCCTCACTTGGAAATGGGTCTCTCCATTCATATTTTTTTTTGGATACAACAGCAGCTGTTGCATGAGAAGGCTCACATCATTTAAATAAAATAAGATGAAATGTATGTGAAGGATGAAATGTATATGAAGACAAAAAAAAAAAAACTACATGGCAACGTGCACTAAAAGAAAATAAAAGTTGTTATCAATCACATCCAAGCATACACTAAATGCAATTGGCCTCCAGTTGAAATTAGTCTTCCTAATCACATCTAAATAAACCTAATTCACATATAAATTTTGGCTACCTTTTCTTAGGGCATGCTAGTCGCTCACAGCAAAAAAAGTAAAAATAAAAACTAAAAAAATAAAACTATCATTCTAAGAAAAACTAAAATGGTTTCTAGAGAGCTTGTTACCCATTTACGATTCATTCTTCAGCTCCCCTTTTCTTATTTTCTTTTCAACCTTATAACCTCAAATAGGCAATGTCTCTTTTTTACTTCTCCACCTAAATAATGGTTGAGTTTTTGTCCATTCACCTAAAAGGATCTCTCTTCATCTCACATTTTAGTGTTACTTCTTTTTAAGGAGTGACTTCTTAACTATAAAAAGACGGGTCATCTTGATTATAATTTTATAAAGAATAATTTTAGGCTTGATGTGGAATAGCAACCCATCTTTTTATAGAACTCTTTGGGCCTTATTTCTTGTCAGCCAATTTTTTGTTTTTTTCTTTGTACATCCTAGAATTTTTGTAGGCTACATGCATAAATTCATTCAATTTATTTAGTTTCATTCGTCTTAAGTCTACATCTACATCATAGTCAAAATTTAACTTCTTTAATGCCCAAAATGCTTTATGTTTCTAAATCTCGGGGTAGATGACATGTCTTCCCAAAAACTAGCTTGTAATGGGACATCCCTAGAGTGGTTTTTAAGGTTTTCCTATATACCCATAATGCTTTTTAAGGTTTTCCTATATACCCATAATGCATCATCAAGCTTCACAAACTAATCTGTTCAGTTGGGTTGTACCACTTTTTCTAAGATATTTTTTATTTCTCTATTGGATACCTCTTCTTGTCCATTGATTTGTGGATGATATGATGTTGTCACCCTATGTTTTGGGTTATACCTTTATAAGAGGCTAGTCGTCAATATGTTTAGAAAATGTAGTTTTTCATTACTAATCCATGCTCTTGACACACTAAATTGAGTAAATATGATCCTTTTTAGAAACTTGAGTACGATCTTTCCATTGTTGGATGGGCCAGCTATTGCTTCCATCCACTTGGAAACATAATCTACAACTACTAGAATGTACAAATTTCAATGAGATGGAGGAAATGATCCCATAAAGTCAATGCCCCAAGTCAAATAAGTTAAAAACGTAGGTGAAAGACTACAGAGATCGCCCCTTGTACTTGCTATCTCTACAAGATCTGATGGTCTTTCCTGACTCACTCGAATAAGGAGACCGTAAAATAGCTTGGCCTCTCCTTGATTTTACTCTTTTACTCTCCTGCCTAATTTCTTTTAGTCCAATCGAGTTTTGAGGACTTGCTTTAGAAACCGAGTTGGAGAGGTGAATGAGCTTGAACTTCTTATCCAAAAGTTCTACTTCTAAGATGAAATTTAGGTGTAGCTCATTTTTGGCCATTAGAAACCCGATTGAAATACTTTAGCTGCTGTCTTTTGTCCTCCAAAATGGCTTCCATATGGGAATGCATGGTATTGTTCAAGAATTATTGGTATTTCATTATCTTGAATGCATCTTCTCATTATAACATCTCCATATTGCTTAAAAAGAAGAGAGTCATCTCTTGGATAACTTTTTGTTTCATGAAAGAACCTCTTTCTTTCCAAATAATTTTTCTTTTCAGGTACGATGACATAGGCTAAAAAATCACTATGTTGCATACCATGGACTTGTTTCCTCCCTACTAGTGTTGCTGCTTATTTTGAGCAGTTGCTCGCTCGAGAATGAATCATCAATTTCTTTTTTATTGGCTTTTTCCTCTATGTTTTCCATCTTACCTACATAGTTATTAGCTCCCTTAGTGTCGAATCTTGAATTCTTGTAACAGTAGAATTCATCTAATTAATCTTGGCTTGGCATTAAGTTTCATCATTAGCTGCTTGATTGATGCATGTTTAGTGTGCACTTTCACTTTTGCTCAAAATAAATAAGCCCTGAATTTCTCAACAACAAATACTATAGCAAAACTCTTTTTCAGTTGTTTACAATTCACTTGAGTCACATTCAACGTTTTTCTTGCATAATAGATAGGATGAAGTATCTTTCCTTTTTTTTTCGATCCGAACATTGCTTCCACGACAACGTCAATAGCTTCCCATATTAATTCAAATAGTGAATTCCAATAAGGATTTGATATTACAAGAGAGGAGCCGTGATCAATGCTTCAAAAGTTGTCATGCATTATTTATAATAAAAAAAAAAACAAAAAATTGTCTATTTGCCTCTAACAAACTCCAACACCATTTTTCAATTTTTGAGAAGTCCTTAATAAACCTCCTCTAGCACTGTCCTCTAGCACTGTGTATGTCCTAAGAAACTTCCAACTCATTTCACAGAGGTAGGTGGATTAAGTTTTTCAGTAACTTCAATCTTGGCACCATCAGTTTCTATTCCTCTTTTGGCCTCCCACTATCCCTACCATGAAATGATATTTTTTCCAATTGAATACAAGATTTTCTCTTCCCACTTTTGCATAACCTTCTCCAAATTTCACAAATAAGTTTCAAGAGATTCTCCAGAAATCGAGAAGTCATCCATTAATGATTCTACCATGTTTATAAAGATGGTTATCAATACATCGTTGAAATTTTGCTAGAGCATTACATAGTCCAAAAGGCATCCTTCTAAAGGCCAAAATTCCTTATGGGCATGTAAGTGTGGTCTTCTCTTGATCTTTTAGACTAATTGTAATTTGGTTGTATCCCAAATAACCATCTAAGAAATAGTAATGTGACTTTTTAAAAGGTCTATCAAGCATTTGATAAATGAAGGGGAAAAATGGTCCTTGCATGTCGTTGTGTTCAATCTTTTGTAATCTACAAACTATATGTTCATTCACTATTCTAGTGAGGATCAATTTATTGTTCTCATTTGCCATTACTGCTACCCTCATTTCTTAAGATCACATTAAATAGGATTGACCTAGTTGCTATTTGCAATTGGATATATTATTCCAACATCTAACCACTTAATAATCTATGGTATAACAACCTCTTTCATCATTTGATTTAATCGTCTTTGTTGCTCAAGGGATTTAAATTGTCCTCCCTCCAATTGAATCTTGTGCATACATAGTGAAGGAATAATTCCTTTTATATCCATCAATGACCAACCCATTGTCCCCTTGTGCTTCTTTAACATTCCGAGAAGCATATCCTCTTGGGTCAAGGATAATGTTACTGTGATAATGATGGGTAGTGTCTCCTTGTCACCTAAATACATATATTTAAGGTTTGGAGGTAGTGGTTTCAAATCCAGATGTGGTGGCCGAAATAAAATAATAATAATAATAATAATAATAAAAGGAATTAAATCGGCCAAGTCCATGGAGGGACAAATGTTGCACCTCCACCTACTATAGTGGAACCTTAGAGGCCACAAAAAAAAAAAAAAAAAAAAAAAATGAAGAAGAAGAAAGGGAAGACTAGGAGAGGGTTTGGGAGAATCGAGGAGAGACTTCATCTAGAATTGAGGTGAGTTCTTGAATGTTTTTCAGATCCGAGACTAACCTTTATGAATCGAGACCTAATGTTTGAATACGTTCATCTAGGGAAGCTGACTTCGTGAAGACACTTAGCAGAAATCCGAGAATCGTCTGAGATGGTAAGTGAACTTCGGCTCAAATCTCATTCTATTTTGAGGCTGAAATCACGAAAAAAAAAATACCAAGAAGTAGCCCTCAACACTATCTAGAACTTTTCTGAAGGAACCATATCAATTTGAGCTTCGGATCAAAAGATATAAAAATCAGAAAAAGGTGGATTGGAAAAAGGGTGGTAGATTGTAGGAGAGAGAGAAAAGAAAAAGAAAAAGAAAAAAAGGGCGGAAGGGCGAGGAGAGAAACTCGATAGGCGGCAACATGCGTCGAGCATCGACTGGAGCGACGCAGCTCCAGCAAAACAATGACGGGTATTACCAACAGAAACCAGATCGAACAGCAGCGAATCGGACCGCTGGTCGTACCGACCCGACCTGCGACTGCATGAAGCAGTCCGCGTGTGGCCGTCGTGCGTGCAGCCTGTGAATGGCGTCCTTTCCCACGCATGGGTAGCGCTTGGTCGGCGCGTGGGAGGATCGTTTTTCATTTGTTTACCTTTTGTTTGTCCCAATTTCTAATTTAATAATATTTTTATGTGAATAGGGACCTAATCAACGATAATCAATGTTTTTTGACACCTTACGAGCACAAAGACGCTAGCGAAAGGGCACGCGTCAATCAAGTAGGTCACCACACAAAACTTAGGAAGAAATACTTATAGAAATCGCCTTGGTATGCATGCATGCTAAATTAGTTTCCTTATGTGATTGGACTTTTCTATGTTGTGAGCTTAGGTTGCAAAGTACATGTTGTATGACCGATATATATGCTTCCATGATAAGTTAAACATATTTTATGTTTCCGCTTAGTTTGTAATTGTTTATGCATGCTGAAAGGAGGATGGGTAAATTGTGAACTCTGCGTTTCGGGTGTTGATGGACGTTATCATCCTGTTGAGAATAATTGCCTATTTTTGCATAAACTGTATAATGTATCTGATTCTTGATGTTTGCTGCCTCTTGATAATGTTTACGAAACGTTATAATGTCTAGTACACGTCTTAGGAATGAGCCTAGTGATCCAAGATTAGAGTGACCAATCACTGAGCCTAGATCAATCCCTTCCCTAGGAGCTTAGCAAATCACCACGGTAAACGTAGTACCTTAGGGATGTTTTAAACTGCTAGTTGTCTGAACGGTGTCTCTAGTTTTGCATGGTAAACGTAGTTCCTACTGACCCTAGCCGTTTTGCATGGAAAATGTGTCCCCACGTAGTATAACCCATTAGCTACATGGAAACGGGTTAGGTCGCGCCCCTCTAGGGGAACTATTATGGGCTTAGGAGGTACTCAGCATACCCCTAGGCAAGATACCATATAGTCTCAGTTAGCCATGTAAAGGTAGCGCCTCGTAGAGAGATACCGGTCAGTCCAACTTAGCATAAAGAACTCTTAGAACGAGACGTCCTAAGGGGCAACCCCCAAAGGTCTAATATTAGAACTAGACGTCCTAGAGCCAATGAGAAACCCGTGATTGACTGTTAAGCTTAGGATGCGATGAGAGCCTACAAGTAGGTGTCCTACTGGGTATAATTTTATACTCATTCCTGCTATCTCTTTTTTTTTTTTTCAGGTACGCGAGGCGTTGGGTCGAGGTGGGGCGTGATCAGAGAGGCGAATTGTCACAGAGGAATGCATGTCCTGGGGCGTCAGTTCAGTCTTTTCTTTTTATATTTTCACCTTTTTGTTTTTTGGAACTTTCATTTGTTTGAATCTTTGTATTGAAACTTTCGGTTATAGGAATAAATGATTTCGCCTTTACACCTTCTCAACTTTTTCTTTGCGTAAACATTGTCTTTTGAGTCACGGCTTATAGTAAAATATCAGGTCATGACACGTTTGGTATCAGAGCACCAGGTCTTAGGTCCTGTAGACATTTAGGATAGAGAGTCGTGTCCTCTATGACTATGCCCATCAATCACGCATCGCTCTCGACCAGATGTTCTCACGGGTTTGAAATAAAGAGACAAAAGTTTAGTTAATGTTTGAGGAATGTACCTCGATCCCCTGTTGAGTTATAATTGCGCACTACGTGTAAGGCATGCTAAGAATGAATTATAACCGCATTTATTTTCTGTTGTGATATATAATGGCACCAAAAAGACGTGGATCTTATACTGGGCCTAGACTCAGAAGAGGAAGAAGAAAAGTCGCTCAGGGCGCCCCTGTTCCAACACGTGAAGTGGAACAAACCAAACCTCAAGAAGAGGTTAGAGACACGTCCTGAGTTAGCGAGAGGACTGTACCATGGGCCCCAAGAACCAGAATGAGCTAAGAGGAAATGATGGCCCTAGAATTGCCGGGTACAAACCCTATAGCTCAAGACTCATCTCATTCGGATCCTGATGCTGAGGATTTGTCTGACACAGAGCCTACTGCTCAAGTCTTGTCTGATATGAACCTTTCGGATCTTCACACCGAGAAAGACCCGCCTGTGCCTGTCACTAATATAGAAATCACACGCAGCCAGCCGATCCAAGCTCACGATGGATATGATACAAACCTTCATGATCACCTCAATGGAGAACCAGAACTTAATGACCTAAAACCAGGATATGATGACAAACGATGTAGGCGATGATGGCTAATCAAACAATAGTGCAAGCACCAAAACACCCAGGGACTATGACAGTGGAGTCCCATTTCCTGAAGGATTTTTGAAGGCACAAACTGCCTAACTTTGATGGGGGCAAGGGTCGGGGGCAAGGTGGACCCTGTCGCAACAGAGACGTGACTGGAGGCTATTGAAACAGCCTTTTATTTCATGAAGTGTCTATTGGAGTACTAAGTCCATTATGGAGCGTACACGTTCAAAGGGGAAGCGCACTTCTGGTGGAAAGGTGCTAAGATGATGATTACACCGAATGATGAGCCAATCACCTGGTGCTAGTTCAAAGAAGCATACCTCTGCAAATACTATCCTGTCACTACCATAATGAAATTGCACGTAGAGTTCCTTGAGCTCAAGCAGGGTGACAAGCCAGTGGAGGAGTATGATCTAGAATTCAACAGACCGAGCGGTTCAATGCAAGTCTTTGGGAGAACATAAGGGTGTTGGGTTTTATGTCTTAAAACTCATAGTTTGTAAACAAAAACATATTCTATTTTCAATAAAGTTATTATTGATGTTTATTTAGTAACGATTGTTATTGAATAAAGTGAATTTTACGATCATTAATCTAAATCCAATAAACTAAGAACACTCTAGCTATAATATGATTACTTGAACTATATGTAGAGACATAAGAGTGGATCAAGTTCAAGTATATAGTCAAAATGATCTATAGTACAGGGATAAGGCTGAGTACCTTATCTTGGGGACACTATGACTGCGGCCCACTTTGTATATGATATAAACAATGTGATCACTAAATTGTACGTGTTGAGACATGTGAGTGGGGGCGTCCTATGCAATGAGTATTGCATAAGATCGAACCATGAAGAAAACCACTCTCACTTTATAATGTCGTTTACTTTTGAGACTGATTTTTTCATTCGATGACCTAAGTAACTCGATCTTAATCCTAAGCTAACTATGAACTCCTGTTTATTAGGAATTATCCTTAGATTTGCATGGGTGAAAGTGGCCCGAGTTTTTCGACTCAATAAGCCTCCGATTTCAGGGGTAAGACTGGGTGAATAGTTGGGACATAGGGTGTAAGATGGAATTCTCTCCTACCCGCTTTTAGGGATAGTAGAGAGGTTGTACCCTTAAGTACGGTCTCCAGGTCTTGAACAAGGGGCCTTACCCTCTCATTGGCCAGAGAGGAATTTGGTTTGGTGGTTGGACCACAAACCAATTGTTCATTAGAGAATTAGTGGGACTCAAGGAACAAGAAGTAACTTTAGGGGTAAAACAGTAAATTGACCCAGTTATAGTTATGAACAACCTGTGAAGGATCGACTTACTAATCATGGTTATATCAAATGTACAGAAATATATCTATAGTGACGGAGTGCAACTACTAGGCTATAGTGGAGTGTCCTAGTAGTTAACGAATGTTGGTTAACAAGGTTAATGAGTTTAGCCGGTTAATCTCGGATCGTTGGAGCCCATGATCTGTAGGTCCATTAGGTCCCCCTGCTAGCTCATATCGGACTAAACCTTAGAATAGTGTGACGAGTGAGTTCGAAGTGTTCGAATTCAAATTAGGGAATATACGCTAAATATATACGACATATTTAACCGCATTTTGTTTTAATTATGAATTAAACAAAAAGAGAGAATTGAAGATATTTAAATAAGATTTAAATATTTTAATTATGAAGAGGATTCATTATCAATATGTTCCGAAATTCATTGGGATTGGCATTTTATTTAATGTTAAATATTAATTAAATTGTTTAATTAATCATTTAATATTATTTTGATTTGAAATTAAAATTTTAAATTAATTGTTGAATTAAAATAAAGAAGGTCAAAATGTTTACTTCACGAAAAAAACATGTTTGAGTTAGTGGAATATTGAGTGTCAATATATAGTTTAACCAAACTTGTGTGTTTGCCACATTATCCAACAAATTTGAGTGGAATTTTGAGTGTCAAAATTTGGCTTAACCAAACTTGCATGTTTGCCAAATAAACCCCACTAATAAACCTACAGATCATGGGCTCCAACGATCCGAGATTAACCGGCTAAACTCATTAACCTTGTTAACCAACAATCATTAACTACTAGGACACTCCACTATAGCCTAGTAGTTGCAGTCCCCTCACTATAGATATATTTCTGTCCATTGGATGTAACCACGATTAGTAAGATGATCCTTTACAAGTTGTTCGTAATTATAACTAGGTCAACTTACCGTTTTACCCCTAAAGTTACTTCTTGTTCTTTGAGTCCCACTAATCCTCTAATGAACAATTGGTTTGTGGTCCAACCACCAAATCGAATCCCTCTTAGGCCAATGAGAGGGTGGGGCCCCTTGTTCAAGATTTGGAGTCAGTACTTAAGAGAACAACCTCTCTACTATCCCTAAAAGCGGGTAGGAGTAAATTCTATCTTACACTCTATGTCCCCAGCTATTCACCCAGTCTTACCCCTGAAATGGGAGGCTTATTGAGTTGGCGAACTCGAGCCACTCTCACCCATGCAAATCTAAGAATAATTTTGAATAAACAAGAGTTCATAGTTTGCTCAGGATTAAGATCGAGTTACCTAGGTCATCAAATGAAAAAATCAGTTTCAACAGTAAACGATATTATAAAGTGAGAGTGGTTTTCTTCATGGTCCGATCTTATGCAATACTCATTGCATAGGACGCCCCCACTCACATGTCACCACATGTAAATTTAGTGATCACATTGTTTATATCATATACAAAAGTGGGTCGCATCCATAGTGTCCCTAGAATAAGGTACTCAACCTTATCCCTGTACTATAGATCATTTTGACTATATACTTGAACTTGATCCACTCTTATATCTCTAAATATAGTTCAAGTAATCATACTATAGCCAGAGTGTTCTTAGTTTATTGAATTTAGATTAATGATCGTATCATTCACTTTATTCAATAACAATCTTTATTGAATAAACATCAATAATAATTTTATTGAAAACAGAATATGTTTTTGTTTAAAAATGGTGAGTTTTAGGACATAAAATTCTTGATGGTTAGTTTGCTTTATGTGGCATTTGTTGATTGTATGAACTTTGTCCCTTCCGTGAGAAGTTTAAATGGTTTCTCCACCCTGAGTTATAAGTGTTTGAGAAGGGATTACTTTTATGGTTGCCTTGACTAGCATGATTTCTCACATAAAAAATTGAAGATGGATTACTTGGACATTTATCAAAAGTGTGTTCTTCAAAATATACACAAGATTCTACTGTTGTTTGAGTCATTACAACAACAATTTGAACTGGTGCTTTAGTCATTGAGTCTTGTCCTAACGCTAGATTTTGTAGAATTGTCACAAAAGCAAATTGAGCAATGATAGAGGTGAAAACATCAACTTCAAGTACTTCTCGGGTCTTCTTTCTTGGATTGCTTCTAACATCAGCTTATTGACAATTGTTAGATGCTATTCTTTTTAGGATCTCAAAAGATTCATTGTACGTCCTTCACAAAATATCTCCATTGGTGGAATCATCCACCACTTGTTTAGTAGCAATATTCCGTCTATTTTAGAAAATCTCCATTTGGATACAATGAGGTAGTTTATGATTAGACACTTTTTAAGCATCTTCTTAAGTCTCTCCCAAGCTTTACTTAGTGTTTCATCTTCAAACCGTTGAAAATGAACAATTTCATTTTTGAACCATGCATTTCTAATGGGTGGAAAATACTTGATCAAAAAAAAATTCTGTTAGACTATTCCAGAATCAATTGCTCCCGGTGCTAAAGTATTCAACCATAATTTAGCACCAACCCTAAAAAAATAAAGGAATAAGATCAGTCTAACCATGATTCTATCCACTCCTTGGAATCATAATGAGTCACTAATTACCAAAAATGACTTTAGATGTAGGTAAGGCTCTTCTCACAGTAGTCCATGAAATTGCCCAATGTTTGCAGCATTTGAAACATCACGGGATTTAGCTCAAAAGTAGTAGCATGCATTTTCGGTCTAATAATGCACGAATTTAGCTCTTCCACAGCTTGGATATGTATATACTCTGATTGCTCTTTCTCCGTCATCTACTAATGAATAGCATTAGTAGTGATTCTCTCTAAATTAGCCATCACGGTTGGATTTTCAAACTTTTGATTCATTTGGACTCCAAAGTTTCCTTGATGTATATTTTGTTATGTCATTCTCAAC